CATATTTTTTGATTTTCTACATTTGGGTTGAGTTTTGCTTCCAAGGTTACCAAGAAGCCAGTCTTAGATAATCTTAAAATTAGGCATAGAAAATTGGTGGTAGAATTTCCACCTATTCTTCTATTTGTTTTTACAACTTTTTTTTTGTTTCGTTTCCCTTTTATTTTTTTTTAATTTTAATTATTATATCGAGAGCAATTTGCTTTTGTATTCTTTCTCAATCGTCATTCACCCATTTTAGCTTGTATAGCATTAAAATAGTTTCAACTTCAAAGCTGCCTAATCTACAAATATCAATCCTTGCATAGTGGGAGAAAATATTCAATATAACATTGACATCCATTCAACAATAAACCAAAAAGTGGACAAAATAAAGCCCACTAATCAAGTGTGTTGATTGTTGGATATGGTGGTTATTGGTAGTTATTGACATATTAGGGTTCACTTTTTTTACTTTTTTTTTTTTGTCGTATGATGACACCAAGTGGAAATGAATGACATGGTGTGACTGTTACATTGAATATTTACTCACACAGTACACATCGGCCACTAGTGGGATTTTGAAATTGACTTTTGTTGATAATAATTTGAGTTGGATCAAGTACTAGATGTTTGTTCTCCAATTAGAACAAGTTTTTCCAAGAAAAACTCCTCCTCTGCTGAAGTAATCCAAGATCCTGTGTGAAATGTCTCTACGTTGGGAGTTATTTTGCATTATATCAAGGCTTAGTTAAGGTTTGTTATGGTGTCGGAGGGAAAGTGGCTCAAAAGTTTGATAAGAATTCAAAGTGTGTTTCTCATATTGATTTATGATTGGATAGAATGAGATCTCCTAATACATTTTTTTTTTCTAATTTTTCTTAAAATTAGATTACCAATCATGAGGTCAAGAAGGACTCACCATCTATGAAACACGAATATTTTTACTAGGCTGACGTATTTGTATCCAATACGTATCTGATACCAATATTCCTTAGATACTTGTGGATACGTATCGGATAATTTTTGTACGTATCGAATAATTAATGAAATATTTATTATTATTGGATATTGTTAGATACACATTGGAGACTCGTATCTAACAGGGGATATATGTGCTTTATACTTAGTGAGGTTGGTTGTGTAAAAACCATGAATCATATGGAGATTCTTTGTTCCAAGATGTTTATTTATATGTGCATCAAAGTTGTCACAAGTTTTTGTCAACACATTAGATTTTACTTGCCTTGATTAATGAGTTTTTATGGCTTATTTCAAAGCCACTGAAGTCTATTGCAATCTAATACAATGTGTTATGCGTCCGATGCACTCCAAATGCACATCCATGCTTTCTAGAATTTTTTGTTTTACTGTATTTTTAAATATAATTTGGTGTCATCCTATTGGTGCATATATTTTTGAAGAGAAAATTCTTTTCATATAATTTTGATATCTATTTTTAAATACAACTCCTATGCATTTAACACTCATCATATCCTTTTAAAATTTTTTCCCTCTAATTGTCATTAACTACCAAGATTTTACCCACCTTCAGCATCCCGTTCCCCCACGTCAACTAACAAAACTCATTTTATCAATTTCTTTTAGGCATCTCTCTCTTTCTCTACTACCATTTCTCACATTCCCCACTTTCAAACAATTGATTCATAAACTATTTTGTTATAAATCTAGCAAATTAATTTAGGTGCGAACAACTAATTCAAAAGTTAATGAGATAAACTACCGAGAGAGGGAGAGAGAGAGATTTTCAGTGTATCTATATGTTTGTGTTCTTTTTGTGTCTTTTCATTCAGATCACTAGGCCATTTTTTATAGGAATTTCAAGCAAAGGAGACAAGCCTTCATACATTCATAATGTAAGGTTCCCTCTAAGGGTCTGTGAGATGCCACATTCTTATTTGTTTCACCGATATCTAGAATGTAGTTGGTGGGAGTGCTTTAGTGAACAAATCTGCCATATTTTTAGTCAAACAAATTTCTTGAACATTAATATCACCATTTTTCTCTAGCTCATGGGTGTAAAAGAACTTTGATGAGATATTTTTGTTTGTCACCTTTGACATATCCTTCCTTGAGTTCTGTGATACAAGTTGTATTTGTCCCCATATAATATTATTGGAATGCATTTAATTAAATTTAATCTACTTTGCTCTTGAATATGTTGGATTATGGATCATTGCCAAATACCTTCTCGACTTGCTTCATGAATGACTAATATTTCAGAGTGATTTGATGATGTAGGTACCATTGTTTTCTTACCTGATTTCTATGATATAGTCATACCACCATAAGTAAACACATATCCAATTTGTGATCAAGCCTTGTATGGATTAGAAAAATAACCAATATCTGCATATCTAACTAATTGCGAACTTTGGTTATTCGCATATAATAGCTCCATGTCCACCGTTCCTCAAAGATATCGTAATACATGCTTGGAGTCAGTTTTGAGCTATACCTTGCCAATAATTTAATTTCAAATAATAAGTCTGGCCTTTTACAATTTGCAAGATATATTAGTGCACCAATTGCACCGAGATATGGTGTTTCAGGAGCATGAAGTTTTTCACCTTTTTCTTGAGGACGAAATGGATCCTTTTTTGTATCTAGTGATCGAACGACCATTATCTAGAATGGGTTCATGACCTTTTTTGTGTATGTTAATTGATGCAAAAAAAAACTCCATTGGATAAATGTTCAGTTTGTAGACCAAGGGAAAATTTTGTTTGCCAAAAATTTGTCATCTCAAACTCACTTTTTAAATACCTAACAGGTTTTTGTGAGCTCTTCAAAGTGTCTACTAGAGAGTCATACAAATATGCAGTGGTGCCTTACAAATTTGAAAGTGATAGTATCCATTATGAGAGAATACGTATCCTCGTAACCAATATCAGGTATTTGCAAGAAACCTTGTGCCACAAGTTGTGCTTTAAATCACACAACTGCATTTTTCTCATTACGCTTTCGAACGAACACCCATTTGTAACCCACGGGTTAAACACCTTGTAGCATTTGGACTACAAATTCAAATACACTGTGTTTTGGTAGTGAGTTTAACTCTACCTGAATCACTTTTTTCCATTTTAGGCAATCATTTCTCTGTCGACATTCATTGACAACTTTTGGTTTAGGCTCCTTGCTATCTCCTGAAATATCAAGAACAACTACAAAGGAAAATATGTTATCCACAATAACTTGATTTTGATCCCATCTTTTTTCATTTTGCTCATAGTTTACAGAGATATCATCATTCTCAGGTACATAAACCTCCTCTAGAAGTATTTGGGACTCTTCAGGAGTTAATTGAGCCTCTATAGGAGGTAATTATTTTGTGGGATGACTTTCTTTCAAAGCACTAACTTTTGGTTTGGTATTTTCTTCTGGAGCATTAACTTCTTTCTTTACTCTCTTTTCCTCTCTCTTTTATAGTGATAATATCTTTTGCATCGAAAAGTCTACCAAGTTTTAGGCGTGCCATAGACTCATTTGTAGCTATGCTTCCAAATTGTCCTATACCTATATCAATTCTTGCTGGTACATTTGCAGTTGACATATGTGAATTTGTTACTTTATTTATATCAGCGAAGGCAATTTATTTCAAATACATTGGAAATGAATGATTCTTTAAACTTTCAATTCACATTGTTTTTTCTGGGGACCAAAATCAAATAACGTTGGAGCATTTCAAGTGATAGATATATATATATATAGAAATCAGCATCGAGGGGGATGGTCTAATAATTAGTTTACCTTGTGAACAAGCAAAAAATGGAGAATTCCCTTCTAATTTTTTAGAGAATATCCATGTAAGTTTTCAATGATCATACGCATTATTATTTATCTTGGATGACCAAGATGATCATTCCAAAGCATAAAATTCTTTGGATCGGGACACTTCTAGTGCGTCACAACATTTGATTCTATAAATTTTATTCTGATATAGTACAACCCAGAAAAGAGAGTATGAAGTTTGTTAGATCATATTTGTAATTGAAAAAATTCATGGAGTCTATTTTAAAATCTCAACCTATTCCATGGTCATAATACTCCCAAGTTCAAGATTCAAAAGCGTCATTGAAAAGAGTAGTCAAGCGTCAAAGCTACATCATTCAACCTCTGTATGCACCGTCATGCTTAGGAAAAAATTAATAATGTAGACACCTAAAATGAACCCTTTTTTTAATTTAACTTAGGTTGATTAGGATGATAATGTTATTGAAAGTGATCCAATTATGACTCCTAGGTGATTTTAAAGGAGAAGTTTTTTAAAACCATTTGTGTTTTGGAAACCTAGTTTGAGTCACAATCGGACCCCTCTTTGAGCAACACCCTTTAGTGCTCAAGATGATAAGTTTTTGCCTGGTTTTAGACTTGAAAACCTATAAGGAGCGATATATGCTCATTAGCCTTCACTAGAACGGTCTATTTATGACTTAGAGAAGAAAATAGAAAAAATCCATGGAAGGTAGTGTAGGACTCGCTCGAGAGGTCTCATGGTCTCTTGAGTAATGCCCATGGTTGCTTAAGCGGTGCCTGCTTGAGTTATATTTGAAACGTTCTTTTCACTCCAGCGACAACCGCCCTATGACTGACCTGCCACCAATCGATCGAAACTTCTCCCGCCCAAGAAAGTGAAGGTTGTAGCTTTAATCTCAATGAAAGAAGAAAGAGGTAAATCCGAGTCACCCCATTTCGGAGAAGATGACATAACCTTTCTTGCACGAAAATTTAAAAGATATTTTAAGGCTAATGGAAAGCCAAATAAGCCTAAGACTTATAAAAAGGGAAGAGAGAGGGGGCAAATGTTCTTGACAAGTGCTTGAGAAAAAAAAGTAAAGGTCTCCAATTGATATGAATGTCATAGTTTTGGACATGTGGCTGTAAAATGTCCAATGCAAAGAAGAATAACATGCCCAAAGAACAGAGGAGAGCCTTGAAGGATAAGGTGAATGAGAGTGAAAGTGAGTCCATATTGAGTGATGACTCTTCTTCTCAAAGTGATGAAGAGAATTACACAACCTTCATTGGTTCACATGCCCCCCCTCCTGAGAGAAGCTTCAAATTTTGAAGTTGAGTCAAGTTCTAACATAGAGGTAGATGATATAGTTGTTGAAGTCTCTACTAGTGAGGATGAGATTGAGAGTGTTGAGGATCTCCAAGATGCATGCAATCAATTATATGAGGAGTGTCTTAAACATAAGAAGAAGTTGCTTTCATTAAGCACGAGACTCAAATCAAGTGAAGATGATAAGAAAGCACTTCATGTGGACTTGGTAAACTTCAAGGCTCATATTTATGGACTTGATGAGGAGAAGTCCCTCCAAGAAAAAGTGAGATTTCTTGAGAGTGAGCACAGAGGGCTTGAAGAATCAAAGAAGTGTCTTGAGTACAAATTGATTAAACTTGATAGAGAGCTTCCCAATCGCAAGAACTTTCAAAGAGACTTTCCCTCAGTATTGAGAAATTGTATAAAATATTGTCTATAGGGAAGAGTGTGGGTGACAAAAGAGGCTTAGGCTACACAAATGATAACACCACTCCCACTTCTTCTAAGATCGTGTTTGTGAAGGGTAATCCCAAACCATCACTACCATGAGTGACCACAAGTCTTCAAAAGACAAAGAATGGTAAGGGTAGGCCCATAAAGAATAAGTTTGATAAAGAAACTCAAATCAAATCACTTGTGTGTTTTACTTGTGGTGAACATGGTCACTATAGTGCACATTGCATTTATAATAAGGAAGTCTTAAATAAGAAGCTCATGCATCTTTAAACAATAAAGACATGAATTTTACTAGGCTTTTGGAAAGGTTAAGTGAGTCAACACTTACTTGCCTAAAGGCTCACATGCTAGAGTGCACAAATTTTGTTCTACTCCCAAGATCAAGATTGATCTATACACTTCTTCAGAGAAGAGAGTTAGTCCTCCACCCATTCTCTGAAAAAAAACCAAGTTTTTAGAAGGGAAAACAAGTATGTGTAACTAGGGAGGTGTTTGAGAGGCTTAGTGTCTCAACCAAGTTAGATGGCCCAAGTGCTTCCAACAAGGTCATGTCACCTAAGTAGTATGTGAGGTTCTGCTTGATCGCGTTCACCCTAATCTCCAAAAATGATCTTGGTAGTGTATATATGGCTTATATGAGTAGGTGAGTGTCACTCTCCCTCGGGTTCAATGCTAGAAATGGGGCAAATCATGTGTGCGAATGAAAATGTGTGTGTGTGTGCAAAAGTTCTCCCCAAGCGAAGAGAGACTTACAATGTTGTGTTTTACTTGGAATTGAGTATTCCAAGGTTGTCTCCTCAGGGAAGGAAGGTCGAATTGTAGTGAAGGGTGATTTGTAAGGAAATGAAAAGTGTAAAATCTTGTTAGTTTTGTGTTTTGGTGAGTGGAGTTTTGATAAAATTCAAGAAAACAAGGTTGGTTAATCCAAATAGGTCATTCCAATGTGAATGTCAAATCAACTCAATTCATTCAACCAATGGTGTTTCGGTGTCTCATTGATTCGTAGGAAGTAAGGGACTAATGTGGAGATTTAGGCTCAAGCATACCCCGTGACAAATCTACAGTGTATCAAGAGCTCACAACCACGTCTGCACTCAACCTATTCAAACCAAACACTTTACACTATGAGGAAGAATGAAGAAGAGTTGATTTAGCATAACCAAGAGGAAATTCCCCTTGGATTAGCCAACTAAAAGTTTAGGTACCCATAGTCAAAGCAAGAACATACACAATGTAAATAGACATGGTGATGAAATAAAGCTTAGAACTTGTATTGATGCAAGAAGAAGTTAAACTACAAAAGTAAATTTCATTTCATACCCAAATGGAAAGCTTGGAAAGAAAAAAAAATCCAAATGTAGACATGGAAATTCAAGAACATGAAGCTAGATATGATTACACTTGAAATAAATGAGATTAAAGTGCAAGAAGTAAAGATTACAAGTGATTTAAAGCTTACTACAACTGAAATGGTGGAGGAAATACAAAAATATTTCTCTCGCTAAAACTTCATCTTCTTCCAAATATTTCTCTCTCTAAAAGCATGTGTAAAAACTGAATAATCCATCTCAAGCTTGGTCCAAAATCGTCCATAACCTCCTCCTGGTCTGTGTGAGCTGACTTCCTATTATTGGAAGGGTTATAGGTCCTGTTACAAGCAACAACAGGCCCACATTGCCTCTTCCATGCTTCCCCCAAGCACTCCTCTTTTCTCTCTTCCTTCTCCAAAATTTTTCTTCCAAAATCAGGCTTTAGGTGTAAGAGAGCATCATAATGTGCCATAGATGTCAGGGTGGGGTGACAAGAGGTGGGGCCCCGAAGTTGGTGGAGTTGAGATTGCAGACTTCTGGAGTTTCTGGGCAAAACCTACTGGTAGAAGGATCATAAAACCTACCGGTAGGTTTTTTCCAGTAGGCAAAATCTACCGGTAGGTTTTGGCTAAGCTGTGGTAGAAGAAATCTAGTGCACTAAACCTATCGGTAGGTTTTGCTGAACTTCTACCGATAGCTTTTTTTATGTTTTGGCATTTTCTTCGTCTCTTGATGTCCCGAGCCATCCGTTAAGCCTCCATTCTTCTCCATTGACTTTAAGCACTTGATGGGAGGCTTAATACATGCCCTTACCTATTCTTTAGCTACAATCACACAAATCTCTAATAAAGTGAGTTTACATGCATTTTCCCCCATTTTTACCACAAAAGAAAGTATAAATGGGTGCAAAGAGATACATGATATGCAATATTCTATGCTCATCAAGGTCTTACATTGTATATATATGTTTTGTTTAAATTGAAAACCCAAAAAGACTTTTGATGTCAAGTTTTACATTCTTTTAAGATTTTTGGTAAGTACTTTATTTTTTGCATGCTTATTTTTTTTATATGTTTATTAGAAAAATACTAAAACATAGAAAAAAGGAAAAAGCAAAAAAAAAAAAAAATTTCTTTTGCTTGATTTTCTTTGTTATTGGTCAAGGTGATCCACACTTTGGTTTGCTTTATAATGATTTCATCTTTGAATCAAAGTTGAAATGTGTATTGCTATGAGTCATATTAGGGGATAGAGAACTTATTGGTCATAAATGTTATTGCATGATCCATGAACCAAAGTCTCTTTCATCCTAGCGTGCTTGGATAGTGTTTCCCGTTGAAAAATTCAAAAACCAATTAAATGCCAACCATTCACATTCATGCTTAGGAATATTTTTAGTTTAAACGATTAATGACCTTATGTAACTCTAAGTGTTGGAGATAGGTAAACACATGAGTAAAGATTAGTAAAGTCTTAATCCCTTATAAGATGTCAAACAGCCAAATGTGAGAAAAGAACCTAATGTGGCCAATCATAAAAAGGTGAGGTATAAAATAAATGGCTAAGAACAATTGCACTTGAACTGTTGAGAGTAATTATGCTTAATTGCCATTGCTTATTTGTAAAGCTCATAGAGCTCATGCTAAACATGTTTAGAAGCATATTGATAAAGTACAAAATTCACAATCGTGCTAATTCACTCACTAATTGGTTATGTGTTCACGTAAAATATGCATTAGGATTTTATGTAGGGCTTACTAATGATTTGAACTAAACGGGATCCTAATGAGTCCGAGTTTACTTTCACACACGTCGCAATTGAATTTGTCAGAGTTGAAAAAAATTTAAATAAGTGTGAGTGGAATTGAACTAAATTGAGGGGACATTACCCTAGGATGCATGAAATTGAGTTCTACATTGGCTCATTGCTACTGCAACAATTTTTTAACATTGTGTTGCCAATCCAGATCATGCACCCCATTGTTAACCATATGACTTCTTAGATGTTCAAGGAGGAGAGTAACAAGAAAATTGGTGTGCTGCTCTTATACATTTTTTTTTCCAGTGAGTATTACTTTTGCACTTATATGTGGTTTTTGCTATGTTTCTCCTAATTTTGTTGCATGTTTATTCATAATCTGTTGATTGTGAAGGCAAAAAAACTCATGGGTTGGGTCTCTCTCTTCAAAATCCCATGTTTGCAAAATTGGCTCTACTACTTGAATAGATGTTGATTCAAGAAAACTTCTTTTCTGTTTGATTGATCTGTTTCAATGAAATTTAAGCACATGGAAAACTGAATTTAGCCAAACCATAACCATTGATCTAAAAACATATATTTTTTTTATAATAAATTTTATATAGTGTGTATGATTTTCTTTTTCATGAATGGGGAAATGTGTCTTGTGGTTTTTTCTTACAAAGAAAATCAAAGTTCTAGCAATAATTTATCTGTGTTGCTAACTCATGTTTGTAAAAATTCATCCTACATCTATTCCTATAAGCATTATTTAATTAATGCTTGATTTCTATAAGATCAAATTTCAAAAAATCAATATTACTTTTTTGGAATATTCTACTTTTTCGGCTTAGAACTTGTAAACTCCCACATTCGTATTATCAACTATAGCAACGAAATTATGTTTTTTTAAATGCTAATATATGTAATGGAATATGCATGAACTAAGTAGATTGTAAGAGTAGAGATAAAAATGTTAATAGTGTAGAATCGGGTAAATATTTAGTTCAAATTTAGTTTTGACTTGTAAAAATATAAAACCGTTTGCAATAGAACTTATACCAACTATGCTTGATGTACAAATGTATGTTGTACAAGTTTGGGTTGGTTTTGGAAGAGTTTGGAATGGGTTTGAAATAAAAAATAGAGGAAATAAGCAAATCTGGACAGGACCTACCGGTAGGATGCTGTCCAGTGGATCCGAACTATCGGTAGTTCAACAGGTAGTAAGTTGCCAGTGGATCTGAACTACCAGTAGCTCAACAGGTAGTAAGTGGCTTGTGGACCTGAACTACCGGTAGCTTGATACGAACTACCGGTAGATTGTAAAAAAATTGGCATTTTTATGTTTTAAAACCCCATTTTCACTCCATTTGCTCCCATTCTTTCAATCCTTTTTCAATTTTAACTCATCAAATCTTGTACAACATTTACCAAAACTCATATACATTTAATTTTACACAAAACATAGTCCATATGAGTTCATTATACAATCTTTTATACAGCATTACAAGTCCAAAACCAATTACATGATTGTGTTACAAAAATGTAATTTATAGCTAGAACTCGGCTTTCTTGATCAACAAGGGCCTAAGTGAGAACCATCCACCAGTCTTGTTCCGTATCTGAAATGTTGTCCCCATAAAGGGTGAGCCATGCTCAATAGGGTATCTCCTAAAGAAGTTACTCTCCAACCTAGATGCATATGAAATGCTCACATGTAATTCAAAAATCAACAAACATCTATTCAAGAATATACAATGCAATGATGAATGCCACAATGCTATGCCAAGTTATGAGGTGAGACTCACACATGCATCGCAACTCGAGCCCTCCACCGGCTCCCATAACACATGCAATGCCATGCGTGTGAATTCGGGCTTTTCAAGCCCTCGCCATTGA